AATAGTAAACGGCATTCCTCGAATAACACCTCATTTTCCTGCAAGTTTTTTTTGAACGGTTTTAGCAGCTGCTAGTGAGTGGATTTATCAAGATTGACGTTTCTACGTAATCGAGAATATACGGCACTATTAACTAAGAGTTTAAGCGTTTACGTTCCATACTCATCATTAGGCCTGACCACCGTCTTCGCTTGTTTGTTTGCAGAAAGGGCGACAATCAGACAGTTATGCCCTAACTTTGTTTTTAATCCTCTCATCATCATCATATAGTGTGACAAACAGCCAAATTCAAATGTGACTTATTGCGAACCAGCAAGCCAACGTCAGAAATAATTTCTTTCCTAAAGATTTTACTTCCATCGCTTGCATGCAGCAAACCACCACCTTCAACACCAACCGAAATATCAGCGATGGCATCCGTTGGACCAGACGTGCTGAAGGACGGAACCAAAGCCAGTACATCGATTTCAGTCTGCTCAGATTCACCACCACCCGGCTGCCCTCGCATTTTCGATCAGGCCACAAGCGGTGGCCATACACTTGTTGGGAGGACGCGATCAGGTCTTACAAGTTTCTGGGTCGCGTAACGTGAACAGCACTAAACAATTGCCATCAGTCTATAGCAATGAACCTTTGGACCAACTGAAATCCTGTTCCAACACAATGCAAGTAGCTACGTTCCACGGGTGGGCAACGTTGCATAAATGATACTTGCGTACGAGACCTGTAGTCCTGTTTTTTGAGGAACTTCTTTGAGCAGTCCCGAAAAATGTCTTCACACTCCTACGGCAAATTCTTAATTTCGACGCTGGAACTGAAATTACGTCGTTCTTCACATGCTTTCGCAGAAGCATCACAACAAGCTCTGAATATTGGCTAAGCGACGTTCGCCGAAGGTCAATTTTTCCACTGGACCGACCGATTCACGACCATGTCCGTAAAATGAATGACAGCGTTTTCGGTTGTGAGCCAGTTGCCAAAATTGTGGATTGTTCACCCATTGAACACGTATGAAACTTAACATCACTGAGAGCTTCGGGTCTTCGTCAGGGGGGAGCACGAAGCCTATGTTCGGTCAGTCGAAAGGCTGAAACAGCTGATTTTTCCAGTCACCTGTGATCCGTAAATACGGTGAAAACCATCGTTGCTCCTATGCTTCAAAAAACCAACAATCTGCAGCAGATTA